AATTTGGTCAATAAAGATGGATAATAAATAGTCCTTTTGAGAGAACTCTGATATCTACATATGATGGTATTAGCACTATCTCCAAATCTTGAGAGACATGAGAACTCTCCAATATAACATAACAAAATTATATTTTGTTCTTTTTCAGGAATTCAGAAATTTATTTTTAGTGCGTACAACTTATAAATTTTATGAGATACGACCCTCAAACAGATTGGCAAATGACTGTCTTTTCTAAGTCATATACACTTTTAAGGAAAATGTAAGGTGTGATTCCAACTCTGTGATCCTCCACAACCTGAATGAGTCAAAACCTCTCAATATGTTTCAGTTTCTCCACATATAGTACAGGTATAATAACCTAAGTTCCTATCTTGATTACTCCAACCTGAAGCCATAAGAAAATATAAACACTGTATATAAAAAAAAAGTTAAGGTAGTTATACTACTGACTTCTCTGAGTTCCTGAAGAGAAAGATTTGTGCTAGTACTAGTCCTGTTTGGAAAACTGAATGCAGAGAGAGGTCTTACGCTCCGGGTGAATGTTTTGGGGATGACAATATACAATGTATGTACCATTGTTCCTCCCCTGACTTACGTGTTTTGAACTTTTTAGGTTTTTTTCTTTTAATCCTTGAAATAAAATGGATTTAGAAAAAAAAATGTAAACACATTATTAAACTTTGAGTTCTTATAAGCAAGCTGCTATGCTATGTAATGGCATATCATGAGGAGCTCTTTCAGCACACATATGAAAATGTTTTCATACATCATTTCATTGATAGAAATAGAGACACCTGTAGGACCACTAAGGAAATAGTAACCGTCCATGTTACTGACAAAGAAATGTGAAACTGTCCAGACATGATCAGAAGTTAAATATTAACCTCTCTCTCCACCACTGACCTGGTGCCACAATGTATCATTACAGGAAAGATCTGGGGAGTTTTAAGCTGAGTTTTAGAAATCTGTCCCCAAAGTAACACGTGGTGTTTGGCTGGCTGGTTGGTGAGGCAATTAAAGGGTATGCAGGGTTTTCTAGACATGAAGGCTGAGTAACTCCCTTCAAATATTTTCCCTTACTTCAAACACACTTATTCTATCATTCCTGCCACTTTTTTTTTGGACAGTGTGTTGCTATGCCGTTCAGGCTGGCCTTGAACTCACTTTGTAGCTTAGGCCAACCCTGAACTCATAGTCATCCTCCTGCCTCAGCCTCCCAAGTGCTGGGATTACAGCATGTGCCACCACGCCCAGCTTTCTGGCCACTTTTGAAGCAGTTCTACAAGTTCTTTCCTATGAATGTCTTTATGAATTGTGACCAAATACATAGTGAATGCTGCTGCCCAGTGCCATTCAGTGAAAACGGAGGCTTGTAAAAATATTTTAGTGTGGAAAAAAATTCTTTGGTGTATCTTCATATATAATATTTATCAAATCTGGCACCGTGTGCCTTTCGGCTCTTCCTCTGACCACAAGGGATAAAGACTTTGAGTTGGCCAGGACATTAAAGCAGCCATGACAGTGAGATTAATTGAGGACAGTAATAACAGGACTTCCAGAACTGTTTTCAGACAGTGGCAAGAATGATGGGAAATGTGGGTGTGAAGCAAGGTGAGTGACGGGTAGCAGCGGTATTTTGAGGTGAATTAATGACAATGTACCCTTCATTTTAACACATTAAATTTCTAACATACCTAAGCCTCTCTAACTGAAATCACGACAAGGTTCCCTTTTAGAAGGAAGTCTGAAATTTGAACTAAAATGAAATCAGGGACATAAGAGGCTAATCTGAACAGAAATGTGAGAGAAAGCAAGAAAAATGGTTCTGATATCAGACTATTTGGGTTATAATTTTGGGCTCTACCATTCAATATTTAGGGAACTTGAAAATTGCTTTGGTTTAAAGATTAAGCTCTTCAAAACTGACAGAAGCCCCTAATTTAAATTCTTAAATATTTTACAAAATATTTTGTGTCAATTTTTAAAAATAAAAGAATGTAACAAACTCAAAGTCTGCTCCTTTAACTATAAAATTCACCCATCTAACTATAAAACCAATTTCTGATATAATGCATGAACAAGGTACAAAATGTACAGGCAAGCATTTCAAGCAAAGAAGAAAAGCCATACGAGCTCAATATGCAACCAACTTTCTGTATGACTGACTATGAATATACTCTTGAATTTACTAACAGGAAAGAACTCTACTGGTGCACGGCAACAACTAATTTCTCCTTTAATGTCTCCTGCTCGGAAGGAACCTTTGCCTACATTGCAAAACCTGTTATTTGATTTATGTAACAGTCCTGGGGCAAGAGGAGCCACTAACATGACAACAGGGAAGACGCAAAGTCAGGACTGGGCAGAGCACAAGGGCAGCCTGCTCAGGGGTCTCTACTCTGTTTAATTTCAGCCTGTAGTAACACTGTTTTTTTCTTTTTTCAAAAATATCAATCTAAACAGGCAGCAATCCCAAAAAAGAATAGTAACAAGCCCTTAATGTTATATACAAAAATGAAGTGGCTGCACAATGCTTAAAGAGCAGTCATGTTTCTCAAGACAGCACGAACACACCCTGGCTCAGCTGCACCAGCAAATGCTCAGCAGGATGGCGGACGGGGGCTCCCCCCCGCACATCACCAACAGAGTAACACACTAGGCACTCTCTGAAGGTCAAGCCAAGTGTGCCAATGAAATCAGATCACGTTTTCTTTCCTTTAACTTCCTGTTCAGTCAAAAAGAACATTACCATGAAATATATGAGAATAATTATTTTGGCTTTGAATAACTATTCCTTACCACTTCCGGGAGTTCAATTTCTTATCTTTTGGCTCTCTACTGAAATGCTTTGCTCTGTATAATCTTAGGCATTTCAATAATTTGAGAACAACCAAAAAAAGTTAATCTTTACTAGATAGATGCAAATTTCACTAGGAAAGATTACAGTCAGTGCAGAAATAAAGACCCCAGTTCTCTCAGTGTAATACCTGTGGAACAACCAAGTCATAATACTAGCAGAATGACTAAGTTATTGAGTAGGAATAAAAAAGTACAACTAAGAGGGAAAAAAGAAGCAGCAAAGCGGCCCAGGATCCTCTGAAATCAATTACTTAGGTTCAGAATAAGATAGTTAACATACACTACACAAGACTATTTTTCTAACTTTGTGTTTATTTTCTTTTAAATAGGTATCACTGTCTAAAACCCAGTGATTAAACAGTTGGAATATATATATCAAGCTGACAAAAGCTAGGCTCACCTAAACAAACTCAAACTTCAGTCATTTTCCTAGATGTTAACCTATGTAAGAACCATGATTAAAGGTATTAAATCAGACCAAAGATGAGACTGAGGTTCATCTGAGGCAAGAGAAAAACAATTTCAACCCAGACTCTTATGTTTGTTTTTTTAACACATAATCAAATCTTCTCAATTTAAGATAAGCATCCATCCTTAACTATTTTAGACTTTCTGATAACTTTGTTGAGGCATAAATCCTTCTTTATTTGATCACAATGTGTATTTGCCTTAACACAAAATTCACTTTATAAGAAATCACCATTTAGAAAATGCTACACTTTAAAGAAACTCTGTAAGAAACTTGGCAATTACAGTAATCACAGAAAGGAGACATGGAACTACCTGATGCTGAAGAGAAATTTGTTTATGTAAATACTGAGCTGCTGAGTTTCACAGCAGTTCCCAGAGTAAGTTAGCCAAAATCCACTAATGATCATTTTCACACAGAGGTGAAAAGACTTGGAATGAGATATGAGGCTCTGCTGCTCAATTAATGTACCAAAGTTCTGTCAAGTACAAAACTCAGTTCACACTCTTCTAAAATAGCAGTTTTAGTCCTAGAAGTTCCATGTGCTCATATCCAACCTCCATCTTTGCCCCTGGAAATCCCAGGGCCCTAAGAAACATGGTTACAATATTACTATTCTAAACATAGAGCATGCAACAATAGAGTTGCTAAGATCTCTACTTCCTTTTTTTTTTTTTAGAAATTATCTGGCTGATTCTGAGATATGGGAGATTCTGGTGAGATATGTGCTAAAGTCTGGTTCCAAGTGTCTGGGTATCTGACTTCTCTGGTTTCCCTTCTAAGCTGGTCTACTGAGCTTTGGATAATGTGTTTTTCCTAATAAGAATCCACTGGCTAAAAGTAAAGAATATGGACTCTGAAGAGAGCTGGCAACAAAACACAAAATGCACAGGCTCACACATGCTCCCATCATACACACCCTGATAGCTGCCACTTGTGGTTTGCAACCTTAAAAATCAAGTTATAAAACTTCTTTAAGGTGTTATCTACTACTAAAAAAACAATCTTTAAAAGTACAATCTCAAAATTTTTCAAACATATAATCTAAATTTTCAGTGGTAATCACTGAGGGGACAATTAGAGGTTATTATTTTCTTTTGGTATCTGTGATCCTGACTTTTCTACAACTCACTTGTGTTATTTTGTTTAGCCTCGTTACAATAATTTACTTGTGATGTCTGCCAGGGTTTATTACTGAGTATCAGAGAGTTCTAAATGGTATTCAAAGTGCTTTCTTCCTTAGGCTTCACATCTTCCAAGAAAGGCCAAAAGTTTCCTGACAATCACATGCTCCCACTCAAAAGGTTTTTTTCTAGGACACTGGTACAGTGAATGAAAATGTCCCAAATGCCACACAGTGAGCACGCTGGCATAGGGTCCTCAACTTTCTCGTCAACCAAGAGATTCTGTTACAGAATGGTCTAGTAGAGTCAGTAAGATTTAGAACAAATGCAGACATACAGTGACCTTGAGTTAAGGTGTTCAAGCAAGCCACAATGGTCACAGGAACCCTGGGGCCAACCAGATCGTCACACTTTTTTGTAGAATAGTTTATCCAACAGGACCAAGTACTAAAAAACCTTCACACTAGACCAGTTTTCTATCCAGGAGGGCACAGAGTAGAGCAGATCTGAGTTACCTGTAGTTAGCATTTTAACTTTAATCTCACCTTTGTGTCCGTGGTCTTCACCCCATGAATTCTCTACTCTCCATTTCAGAAATGTCCCATCCTGATCATCCTGAAAAAAAAAAAGAAAGAAAAAAAAAAAGGATGATAGAGTACAGTACAAACAGATCCCCTCTGAGGAGGTGTCATCCAGGGTTAGCCTGTTGCAGCCACTTAGAATAAAGTCTGCTGTAAGAAGCCACGATGTACACAATCAGGGTCAATGTATTTTTTATCATCACTAAACAGACATATACTCCAGTAAGTAGTGCAGTAAATGAAGGTAACAAAACAATAAATACTATCTTGTCCTTTCTATTTCATTCTATACAAAAAATAAACTGGTAAAAATGCTCCTTGGCTAAGGAAATTAAAATATATTATTAAAATCAGTAAACACCATTTGAAGTCAGGGCTTCCTGCTCTTAACCAATTAGAATTCTTTGAAAAGGCATCCCACTGCATTTATTACAGGAATGATTCTAAGCACCGCTCAAGAGTTTTTGAAAAATAAATCAAAATAGACATATTGTCATTGCAATTCACGATTTTTCTATTTAGGGAAATCAAGTAATGATATTATCCAAATATGTTTTTTCACTGATCCAGTTACACAAATACTGAATTTAATATAACAGAGATTGAATGACAAAGCCAAAATAAAGAGATCATTTTCATAAACAAAACCCAGGCAGTTTTGTTCTCTTTTCTATCTTCATTAATCAAATAAGCTCTATTATCATCTTCTTAAAAAGACAGTGATACTCAAGATAACCATAATCCTCCTTTTTAGCATTTATTACAGTGACATAGAGAGGACAAAAGTAAAGCTCCACTTGAGAAAAGACTTCTCTGTCATGTTTACCCAGGACATTCGCTGATGTCAAAGCAATCTGCATCTCTGCAGCATGAGAGAACACTGACACTTGCATTTCTCCTAATGATTTCATCTGTCAGCTCCTACTCGCTATCACTGGGCATAAGTCTCTTCTACACGAAATTTGGTTCCCTGAGGGTTTACTGACCTGAACACTCTAATCTACTGATAGCATTTTTCTTAGATCTCAGTAATTTTTCAGTCCCAGATTTAGCTAACAAACCCATAAGTTTCAAGTACTCTTAACTGTACTAGCAACATTACACACTCTGAGGCCAGCACATTAAATGCCTGCTTTAACTTTCTATTTCACTCATTGTATTGTATTTTAAATATCATGGCTAGAAGCTACACCATCTGAAGTCATCTACCTGTTACTGTATGTCTGAAAATGCTTACTATTACACTGCTATTAATTCTTGCATGACCTGAATTACATTGTTTCTGGATCATCCACAAATGTAGGATGATAAAAGTTAGACCTCCCTCTCAAGGGTGCCATGGGAATAGCAGCAGGAATGAATATGTCAGAAACATAGGAACCAGAATGCATTTATTTTTGTCTTATTATTAAAATGTGGCAGGGCTGGGGATTTAGCTCAGCGGCATAAGCGCCTGCCTTGCAAGCAGGCAGTTGTGAGTTCGATCCCTGGTACCAATAAAAAGGAAAAAGACAAAAAAAAAAAAAAAAGAAAAAAAAATGTGGTCCAAACTAGTTTTAATGGCCAAAAACTCCTTAATGTGGGGGGATATTCATAAAATTTCGGATATAAACCAAAAATGGAAGTTCTAGTGTAAACAACATGGAGTATTAATGATTTTTATTCCTGAAAGTACAGACGAAAAATGATTTTTTTTTTTAATCGGTACCAGGGATCGAACTCACGACCGCCTGCTTGCAAGGCAGGTGCTTATGCTGCTGAGCTAAATCCCCAGCCCTGAAAAATGATTTTTAAAAAGCTAGTTTCTCTCTCTTTTGAGACAGGGTCTCACTATATATTTCAAGCTAGTCTTGAACTACTATGTAGCCCACGCTGGCCTCAAACTGACTATGATTCTCCTGCCTCAGCCTCCCAAGTGGGTACTGCCATGCCCAGCTAAAAAGCTAACGCTGTCTTGAAAATTACAAAAGCATTTTATTTTTCCTTTTTATAAACAGTCCTCTATATAACTTAAAATTTTATAATACAGCTGGACTAAGCAGAAATGAACAAATTATACAGTACCTTACTCATTAAAAATTTCTCTTAATGTTTACTTGTAATATCAAAAGGTTATTCTTATTTAAAATAACATTTCTTAATTTTGTGCTCTGTTCATAATTCTAATGTGAGAACTTTGTTATAACTCAGGGTGGTAATAATCAACTAAATTACCTTCTACTCTTCTGAAATGACTTTTTGTAATCTATAAAGGTAATAGCAATTACACTCCATATTAATTTTTCTGAAACTAATTTACTAGAACTCATATAAATCTTCAACTTTTGTATTTATTTGGGAAAACTACAGAATATCAGGAATATTATCACAGGATTGCGTAAGTAGTTCAGGGTACTTTTTATACCACACTGTGTTTGATCTCATGTAAAACTGAAGTACCTCAGAGTTCTACTACTTACACAGACTACTTAAGGTACTGGCCCTGTAATTTGTACAAATATAATTAAACCTTCCTTTAAGGACAGGTTTTGAATGAGAGAGAGCATAAGGATCTAGAATGTGGGTCAAAAAGGCACAAACAAAGGTACAAGGAGATGGGAGAAAAGTACAGAGAGAAAATCTCATCCTACTCACAATTTTGCCTAACGAGTACACAAAACAATCAGGACTTCTCGGTGATGTGGTTAAGGAAACAGGGCATATTGATGTGCTAAGATAGTAAATAAATCTGAAGGGCAGGGCAGGGCAGCAAAAACAGTTCTCTATCAAACTGTCTCCTAAAACAAGTTATACAAGGTAGATAGTCTGCATATTTATTCTCAGTAATTAGACTACAAAGAGAATGTTTTTGCTTGCAATGGTAGAGAATTACAGCGGTTTGAAGTCTTCTCTTCCTTATGAGCCCTAAGTAAAATAACCTTCGATAGCCTGCGAGTGGGGAGTTTATTTGTGAAAGATAAGATTTCCAACACTACAGTGTAGTCTAGAAACTGTGATAGTACTAAGTAATTCAGAGTATTTCACAGCAAGTTCAAAATACTTTACATCCAAACTCCTAAAGCTCTGCATAAATCTATGAATAATGGTCAATGGCAAGTGCCGGAGGCTAAGTGGGAAAGTAGATCACCAAGACAGTAACACTGCTGGGGCACATGTTCATTCCTCATAAAACAGAAATTCTCTTCTCCTAAATTCCTCTGTTGGCTTCTCTTCTTACCAAGAAGTTTTGTAACTCTTTCAAAGTTACAAAAAAGCAGTTACTTCTTTATTCCCTGCTGACCCAAATGTGCCTTCTGGGAAGTTCCTTTATTATATCTGAACATACACTCCAACCCTAAACTATATAGGCACAGTGTTTTACTTAGAAACTAACTTTTAACAAAATCATATACACCTGCTGGATTAACAATCTGCAGGGGAATGTGGGTCCATCTGTGTACACAGATGGTCATGCTGGGGGGGGAGGTTGTTGTCCTACCTTCTCCGAGAAAGCAGTGAAGGTCATGGCGTGGGTCATCAGTGACTCACCAAAAGACAACCTCTCGGCTTTATTCATGTTCTTCAAAGAGACACCAAACACCAACTCATGGTCATAGCTGTTTAAAAAAAAAAAAAAAAAGACTAGCTGTAGCTCTTCAGAAAAAACATGGCACATGAATTTTGTTTCTCAATGGGATTCTATTCATTATATATCACAAGAGTATACAAGAAAATATGAAATGTTTAAAGACTAATGACCATATCAAAAGCTGGCAGGCTCAGTTTGGATTGTCATTTTGGCAAGAACGTTTTTTTAAAAAGTGCAAAAAAAGCATTTGAAGTAACGTCTTACAAAAATGGTCTTTCAAGCTAGACCAGCTAGTTTCTGAATTCATTGAAAACACTGCTGACTGAAATTTAAATAAATAGTGCCAAATACGTTGGGCATTATTTTCTTTTTTGTCTTTCTGAGACAAGGTTTCAATATGCAGTTTAGCTGGCCTTGCACTCACTGTGTAGCCCAGGCTGGCCTCAGACTCACAGCAATCCTCTTATCTTAGCCTCCCCAGTGCTGGCATTACAGAAGTACACCACCATACCTGGCTGGATATTATTTTCAAAATTTAAAAAGCTATTCTCTTAGCAGGTTTTTTTCTTTTGTTAACTATCAAGGTATTTATTCAACTTCCTAATAGTTTATTAGTTACTTTTTTTTTTTTTTTTTTGGCTGTTGGGGATCGAACTCATAAGTGTCAGGCAGGCACTTATGCCACTGAGCTAAATCCCCAGCCCTATTAATTACTTATAAGTAACTCTCAAATGGCATATTTTAACAGTCAAGGAATCTAGTAAGATTTAGTTTGCAAATGAACTGTCACTATTATAACAGACAAGGTTGCATGCAAATTAGTCCTACTTATCATAAAGGCAAAATATAGAAAGCATCAAAGTAAGATAAGCAGTATAGGAAATGACAAAATAGCAAATAAGAGCTCTAGAAAATCTTTCACGATACTCCCAAGTGCACTGAGCAGATTTACATGATAATGAATTACTTTTTAAAAGTGTCTTTCTCTTTAAGGATGCTTTTCAGGAAGATCAATGATTTCTGCTAAAGTATGATCTTGATTTCATGGGCTTGAGCAGTCAAACATGTGAAGTTTCTGCAACGTGACCTTACACTCTTCAGGACGTAATGAGAGACCACCTTAGGCCATCCTTAAGCTTTGGATGAACCTCAGCAGTCGGTATGTATCAAGAGTACACTCCGAGAGCAGTGACCCAAAACAACTACTTCACATTTCTTACACTCACATGTTCATGTCACTGAGGCCCAACTTGCCATTGAAGTGCTTTCCAACATCACAGCCAAACCACACAGCCTGGAAATAGAGAAAGGAGAAAAATCAATAACAACTCTCTCTTCTTAAAAAAGTAAGAGGTTATTTTAACCCCAACGTTGGAGACACAATATACTAACCTCTCCATCTTTGATGGAAGCGGCAACCATCTTTTTCAAGAAGTCAATGGGCTGATTGTTATACAGAGTTTTTCTCCCTCCAACCATATTGCTCAAGTAGTCTACAGTATAAAGTTTATTGTACTTGTGCTGGGGCCGTGGATCATTCACGAAACAAATCTTTTAAGATCAAAAATATGCCAATTAGATCATAAAATCAGGACCATCAAGAAAAACATGTCTTTTTCCTCACTTCTGTCTACTATAAGAAGAGATATAAACTGACTGCTGCCCTTTTTCTTCAGAAAAGTCTCTGAAGAAGAACACTGGGAAAAGATGAGAGACTCTGGTACGCCAATTTGCTTAGGTATGTGAAATACTTCAGAGTATGGAAAATAAAAAGTTCATTTGGTGTTTAGTTAGATGATCACACATTAACCCAAGACTTAGACACCTCCTTGTAAAACAAACATCTGGAAGTAAAGAACCAGTGGCAGCCAATGCCAGTCTCCCACCTTGTCTTCCATATTGAAGAGTGGCTTGACATGTTCCCTGTAAAACTCCAAGGGTGTTATGGGGCCGATCTTGTGATAATTTTTATCTTTGTCTCGATACTCCCAGGTGAATGTCTCTGGTGGATTACCCAAGCAGATGCACACCACTCGGAGTATCTGCAAGAGAAGAGACAGGTGAGCAGTGCTAGAGGAAAGTGTTATATTTTTACCTCTTCATTTTCCTCAAGTTTAGGAAACATAAGAAATTAGTAGCTAATTTCAAGACAGAAATTTCAAAACAAATCTAGTACTCTCTAAATATTAGAAAGTTTATATCCAGAGTCTGGTATCACTCAACTAGTGGATTCTCAGATAAATACTCAGAACAATGTACTTTTGAAATGTTAATATTTAGCACTTGGTACTTGTTTACAAATTAAACTTCCTTAACTAAGGAACTGATCATCATTGATATGCAACAAGATCCGGGTTGTTACTCTACTGATAATTTTTCAAGTGACAATGACATTTTATAAATGACTTCCTTCCTTTTATGTCTTGAAGCTCTCCCTTTATTGTGCAGGAGTCTACTCAGAACTGTAATTATCTTTTCAACTGGAACTTAAATGATGATATCCATTAAAAGTATTACTAGAAAACGAGTGACTGACAGTAGTACAGTGCAGAGCCTGGACAACTGAGGAAGATCCTGTACCAAAATTAAAGAATTTAAATGTGGTTGGGACATGTAGCTCAGTGTGAATGTCTTGGGCTCAATCTTCAGTCTCCTCCCTCCCCCACATTGCATCAATAGACTCTAAGAATATGTTTACATTAAAGAAGTAAAAGAAGTTATTTTGACTTTTTTTGGTACTGGGGATCAAACTCATGACCTCATGCTTACCAGGCAGGTGCCTGAGCTGCTGCATTAAATCCTTAGTTCGGTTATTTTAAAGAAGTAACAGAAGTTATTTTACAGAATGACAAAAATACAGTACAGAGATACGCCCACATAAGATCAGAATAAACTACTTTCTTTTCTATCTCAAATTTCCCTATCTTTATTTTAATATAATACTCCAATTTGCTTTTCTCCATCCTACTCACCACCTGATCCAATCTCATCCCTTATTTATTTATTTGCACCAACTTCTTTTTTTGATACAAGTATTACAGTACCTAAGTTAGGTAGAAATATTGTAGGCAGTCAGATGAAGCTGGACCTTCGAGAGGTCAATGCAAAAGACAACCGGGGCTGGAGGAACGTCCACTGAAGGCCAGGCTTCAGGAGGAAGAACTACCCACCCATGTGTTTCCCATGGGATGAACAGCTGTGCCTGGTACTCTAAATCTCTATCAGTCATCTTGGGGTGGAGGACCAAACCTCCCACCCCTTCTAGGCAGAAGTCCTTGTCTGCCCATGTGCTCATGCTACGTGGGTCGCTTCCCAATTTGATCCCCATTTAATCAGTATTACCCTAGCAGCTCTACTTGTATACCTATTGGTTGACCACAGTTTTATCCAACCTCACACCTATCCTGTAATTTGCCACTGGATCAGTATTACCTAAGCGACCATTATTTGTACTCTTAATGACTGATCATAGGTCTGTCCCATCCTAAACCTGCCTCATCTTATGGCTTTGCTCAATAAAACCCCCTTGGCAGCAGCAGGCAACCCACTTTCTGGACTCTGTGTTGTCGCTTTCAGACACAAGCTTTCTTTCTCTCAATTTGTTACTAGAATTCATTCCTCAATTTTAGAGAACACAAACTCTGCATTCTGAACATCTAGCAGGTTGCGAGTTCTAGTCCTCTATATCACAGGGTCTTGCTGTATAGTTCAGACTGGCCTTCAGTTCACTGTGTAGCCCAGACGAGCCTTGAACTCACTGTGAGCCTACTGCTTCAGCCGCCGAAGTGCTGGAATTCCAGGCATGTGCCACCACACCTGCTGCACTACACTTCCGTATACCCTGTTACACTCACGAGAAATGGCTCTTATATTTATTAAATGTACTTATTTTGTGCTGGATACTGTATCAGTTAATTTAATTATTCCGAAGTACAGCACCTCTCCTCATTATTTCTCAGAAGAGACTGGGACTCAAAGAAATTGAGTAATCCAGTTAAGATAGCTGGAAGATAAGCAGAAGATGGCAGATAACAGAAGATCACAATATGAACAGAGGTTGCAAAGTGTCAAAAAAGAAAATCACAGTATTGTTTCTTGACGACTGGTCTTAAAGAGGGAACATTTATGTTTCCCTGCTGTACTATAATCTTTGAATACAAAAATCTCTTACTTCTTTCAAGAAAAGTGGTAGATACTGATTTCTCAAGGTTCAAGGAAATAATAGCTTGTCTGAAGTCACAAAGCCAGAAATCACAGAATTAGGATTTGAACTCAGGTCTAACTTCAACACTATTTCCAAAATATTATGAATTGACCACTTACTATAACTTTCTAGGTAACTTGCCTCCTATACTAAGTTACACATTTTTAAAGACTAAGAACAAAATCATGGATATTTTATGGCCCCTACCACAGTGCTGAGCACATGATTGGATATGCTGGTAGATCTGGTTCATTCTCTACCTCACCAAAGAATAAATAATTTTAGAACTACCACTTTCTTTAAATCACTTCTCTGTTGAAGATTCAATATTGCTTCCCCACTACCTCCTATGACAAATCCAAACTCTGAGATCTAATTTTTTTTTACTTCTTTAATTAGACATGTTTAGGTAGTATGGAAAGTATATTAACCTTAAGTGCATGACTCAATTCAATTTAAATTTAAAAATATATATATATACTCATGTAACCATCAATCAGATCAGTAATATAGCATATATAGAAAAGGGTCCTTTGCCTTCATTTAGAGTCAACATCTCAAAACTTTCCATGGTAAACCACCATTTGATTTCTACAATCACGGGAATGTGCAGCCTGTTCCTTAACTTCATATAAATGGATGCACAGAGCATACTCTCTTGTGATTTTGTAAAACTGTAACTTGAAATGTATCATTTTATTTTACACAATTTATTTACCATGACCATAAAATAGCCAAAGTAATTCTTTTTTTTTAGTAATTTCACACTTAAATCAGTTATTCTGGAAGGAATATTTCTGAGACAAACAACAGCAGATAAAGAATTAAATAAACTCTAAGTTTTAAAAAATCTCTAAGTATAGGCTCCAAGGCCTCTGATACAGTATTTTCTTGATAGGAGTCTCTGTTATTCTGAAATAACATTCCCTGTTCTCAAAAGTATACAACTGGCAGTGAGTTTAGGGTACCCAAGTCTGCTCTCTGGTGGGCAGTGCAGGAGTGTCTCCTGCTTCTCCCAAATAGTACCTAACAAAGCCAAGATGCTGCCATGGAATACAAGGCATTGTATTACACAGGCTTCAACAAAACAACAAAACAGCCATATTTCTCAGGATATAATTACACATTAAAGCCATAATCTATCCACTGGAGAAAACATACGTGAAGCTTTAACTGAAACTGCATTCTCTATCCCTGTATTTCAATCTTGCCTTTATTTTTTCCCCACTTATTAACTGCCATATTATACTTCTTATATGTTTACTTATTTTACTTATTTCTCTCTCCTAGAGAGTAAAGTACAGTACACAAAAGGAGGATTCTTTTTTTTTTTTTTTTTTTGTCTTTTTCCTTTTTATCGGTACCAGGGATTGAACTCACGACTGCCTGCTTTCAAGGCAGGCGCTTATGCCGCTGAGCTAAATCCCCAGCCCCAAAAGGAGGATTCTTATCTGTTTTGGTCACTGCTGAATCCCCAATTCAATTTTTTAAACATCTATATATCTATATATCTATCTCCATGTAACCACCATTCAAATCAGTAATTGAACAGTGCCAAGTACACATGTTAAGTATCTACTAAACACATGACTTATGTGGTTTCAGACTAAACTTGGTATCAGAATCAATTTGATGAAAAGAATTACAACAGAATCAAAGGAGTGGGCTCAGGGATATGTCTTTTTCAAAATGCTCACAAAATGGGAAACAAATGATGCATATATGATACAATGATACCAGGAACTGATTTTGTTTTTCCCCAAATCCCCAACCCAACCATACTGTGGTCTTTCCGATTTTAACTGTGGGAGGAGGAGGAAGAAGAAAGAAGAAGAAAGAAGAAAGAAGAAAGAAGAAGAAGAAGAAGAAGAAGAAGAAGAAGAAGAAGAAGAAGAAGAAGAAAGAAGAAGAAGAAGAAGAAGAAAGAAGAAAGAAGAAGAAGAAGAAGAAATCAACATCTGTAATTATTCCTTTAAATACAGATTATTAGAGAAAATTCTCCAAAATATTTTGACCCACTGAGGCTCGTCTCTCATACCCTGGAGAGGAGAGGGAATGTCAAGTCATGTGAGATATAATGCATTACATCTGCCTCTTGGGATCATCTGATTTCTGATTAAATTTCGTATCCTTGCTAATTAAATTGGGATTTAAGCTAAGTATGGTGGTGCACCACTGTAATCCCAGTCCTCAGGAGACTGAGGCAGGAGGATTGTTGTTGCGAGTTCAAGACCAGCCTAGGCTACAGAGTCAAGGTGAGCCTGAACTACATAGCAAGACTTTTGTCTCAAAAAGACAATAAATAAATAAATAAATAAATAAATAAATAAATAGGGGTTTAATAATCCCTTTCTATTAACCTATAAACCATCGCAAAAGCTACAGCTAGTATCAGAGAGGTCTAACTCCTATTTCTAGTTAAATGCCACTGGCAGAGTATGTTTTATAAAGGAGCCTTTCATAAAAATGAGCCCTAAAAATATTTTCCCCTAGCACAAAGATTTATTTGAAATGATTTGGTGAATTCTAACATAGTAAATAATGGATTCAGAACAGAGAAAAGAGAAGAAAAAAAAAAGGACACATCATGAAAAATGGAACATAGGGAAGGAAGTATAGATCCCAATTTAAAGACAAATAAATGAGACTGGGTCAATTTCCACACCCACAGCTAAATCTGCAGACAAGAAAAAGAGAGAGAGAGAGAAAGAGAGACATAGAGAGAGAGAGAGGGAGAGAGGGGAAAAAGAGGAGAGGGGGAGAGGAAGAGAAGGAGAGGGGGAGAGGAAGAGAAGGAGAGAGGGAGAGAGAGAGAGGGAGGGAGACAGAGAGAGAGAG